TGTTTTGGACACGGTTAGTTTCCAAGAAAATTAAAAAATCTTAGTCTCTCTCAAAGATCTTCCGCATATCATTCACATGACTATATCGAAAAGACCGAAGAATATTTGGCACGAAAGAAATCAATTAAATTTTCAGAAATAATTGTGAAAGCATGTAATGTTTTAAAGGATAAAATGAATTCTTGTCATAGAAATGTCTACTCGCGGGGGATTTTAACAAGAAGTTTTAAATAGACGCGAGACGGTCAAACAATTATAGAAGAATTGCGCGACACATTTATTTTTCTATACTAAAATTTTTTTCATTTACAGACGTCGGGGGTGACGCCGTTGATGTATGCAGTGGAGGACAACCGCAGTGAGCTACTCGATCGGATGATCGAGCTCGGATCCGACGTGAACGCCAGAAACAACGCAAGTATTATATGTTAAATAAGACAAACTGTTTGATAAATCGAGAATCTTCATTCTTAATATAATATTTATTTTTTTTATTATTATTCACTTTTAGACGTCAGCACTACTTTAAAGATGCAAAAAAATCAATTCAAAGTAACTATTTTATAAAATCTGAAATTTGGTAAAGTACTAAATTATTTAATACTATATACAAGAAAAAACAGTTAGACTACTGCCTGTCGTAAGTGGCGCAACGCAGAAGCTGAATAATAAAATAATAGTTGTCCAAGTTTTTCTTCTAGTGCATATTGCGCTTTTGATATATGGAGTGGCAAATTAATTATTGCTTTAGCAGGATGTAAATTTTGTTCCTGTATTAAATTTTGTATAATTTTTGTTTTGCTCTTTTTAGTTGTTGGTTTTCTAAATACTTTTTGAATACGCAAACGATGTTTTAATGTTTTTATAATTTTACGCAAAAGCATTTTCTTCCATTAAATAATCTATTTCTTTCGTTTGTGATTTCTCGCTTGCATTACAGCATTTACTTGCTTTTACAGCATTACTTGCATTTTTTAATTCGTTGCTTTTTTGTTTTTTAATTACAGGTGCCGCGTCACTCACATTAACTTTTTGGCTTTTTCCATGAATCCATTCCATTATATTTTCCTCTTCTTCCGAAATATCAAAATGTAATTCCACAGGACGCTATGTTTTAACAAGTTTATTTTGATATACTAATTCTATTTCTATGGCATTATTATCTTTTTCTGTTGTTATTTCTATGTCAATGTCACTTCTTTGTACACCTATCTCTAAAGCGTTATTAACGTTTTGTACGTCTTGTACACCTATCTCTACCCGCGGTATCTCTAAAGCGTTAACGTTTTGTACGTCTTGTACACCTATCTCTACCCGCGGTATCTCTAAAGCGTTAACGTTTTGTACGTCTTGTACACCTATCTCTACCGGTATCTCTAAAGTGTTAACGTTTTATACTTTTTATACATCTATCTTTACGTCTTTGTTTTAAAAGTTATTGTATTGTGATGTCAACATCACATTCAAAATGAAAGTTTATAAACTTTTTTGTATTTTTTAAAATGTCGCGTTGATGACAAGAATATTATAACAAATTATGCTAGACACAGATCAGAGAGCGAGAGAAAGAAAGAGAGAGGAGCACACTAATAATGTATCTCAACAAATTAGTTAATTGCCAAATTCTTTAATGTGTTATAAAAGAACAGTTCAAAAAACGCTTATCTAAATGTAATTAGGTTTTTTGACATAAGATACATATGCGACAAATTTTGCGATCTAATTTTCATCTTATTTTCATTCAAATTTTCAAGAAAAGTATTTCAGTGTAGAATGCAGAAAAGATTATTTACTTTTGGGAATTTTTAAAAATAAATCTGCTACACATATTTTTCTACGCTTTGACATATTTACTTGCACATATACACTCAAAGCATCACCTATTCTGAACTCAAAGCATCACCTATTCGCTAAAAATAGGTAAATTTCAAAAGGGTGTAACTTCGTAACAGAATGATCCAAAAAGTATTTTACAGCTTGAAGTCTCTACTTTCGAAATCCATAATTCATTAAATGACTTACTGATTCTTTACAAAGTTGCACGGATGCAAATGGAGATGCATCAAATCTAAAAATTTCTTACTAAGTTTGTGAAGTTCCATAAAGTGCAATAAAAATCGCATACAAATATGACTTACAGCGTTCAAAAGCGTGAATCTTTACCTTTAATTTGCGTACTCAATGAGCATTGTGCGATTTTTTTATACGGAGTTATTCAATATGAAAG